ATTTCGGCTCGAGATATCCATCTTCTGGTGGCCGTATAGGAGCAGGATGTGGTGGAGGTAGTAGGTAGCTGGAACTGTCATCAGGTTTGCTCCACTGGGACGAGATTGGTGTCGTACTTCCAGGGGTTTGTGAGAGAGGATGACCAGCTGGAAAGCCTTCACGTGGTAAAGAGCTCCCGTGCGGGTGAGACATAGCTGGTGAACGTCGCGAAATCGTTCTGGGATCCGTAATTGCTGGTGGGTGCCACGCTGGCGAATCTGGGGCTTCGGTCAACCACGAGTCTTCACGAGAAGCCAGTGGAGCAATTTGGCGACCAGGATGACCTGATATGGTGTGATCCACAATAAACATCCAATTGTTGAAATGATATAGTCTAACGTTTGTGATCATAACAGATAGAAGTGCACAGGAACAGCAAATTTGGTTCTGAGTGATATTCCTACGGTGTATATGTGCACAGGTTTCATACTTATTTGTGTCCAGACTGTACAAAACCACAACATGGTACACAGACATGTAAACGTTAAAAGACACTAATCAGTTGAATAGGCATAACAGAAGTGGTTCTATTCTGTCTGAGTCACGAATATGTAAACAAAATTTGCGCTCACGTGTGTATCGCTCCAGGCTGAACATATGATTCGTGGAAATTTTGCGGTAAACTAACGGTTTAAATGTGATTAACTCCGGGAACGATTTGGCGTGTGTGTGTGTCTGTGTGCAATGATTTTGTCTCCTCATCAACACGTCGTGCACTGGGAGTGGAAACGAAATTTCCCGGTGTCGACTAGCACTCCCCCCCCCCNCCCACCCACTTCATCAGTGAATTAGTTGCAGTGGGAGACACGGTGAGTCCGTGTGACGGATTCACAGCCCATAGACAGCATTTGAAACATGTGTAGAATGGAAAATCGAATCAGAAAGTAGAGAAATGTTGACAATCATTTGTGAAGTTGAACTGTTTCTCTGTGTGTTGCGATTCCGAATGTACACGCCAACTAAGGGTCTTCTTCACTCTCCTCATCGTACTCGGAGAGAGCGAGAAACCTAACCCGGTAATGCCATTTAAAAGGAAAATTTTCCGTATTAGTTTAACAAAAGTTATGTTATTAAGAGAATATCGATTGGGTTCCTTTGTACACATTTGTGTGATAAAATCTCCAGGGTAGTTAACTCTAGTGACAAAGGGATTATCGTGCCCAACTACACTGACAATGTGGACTGCAATCCATTCACGATTGATGGACAAATAATCAAGAGATCTGTAAAAGTCCCACACTTGCAGTTTCAAACGTTTTTGGAGAATTGGTCGAGGAATATTATTGATTCGGTCCAAGGATGATAAACCGAGTCATGCCTCGTGCGACGGGAGTTTATTTTTAGTAAACAAAAACCCAAATCCTTTTCATTTATTGGTTGTGAAGCCCCCGAAACCAGGGAAGATTTCGAGAATGAGCTTATGCAACTGTTGTCCTGCACCTCTCATTTCTATATGACCGCCGATTTGTTCACTGTATCCAACGGAGAAGAGTATATATGCTCACATCCAGTCTGACTTTGGATGTCATATACAGCTTTTGGTATCTCCCGACCGAAGTCCGTAGTACAATATGGTTGATTTTTCTTCATTCGATGTCAACGGTTCGTGACTGTTCCGGAGAGGGGGGGGACCCGAATTTAGGGTTACAAGGCAGCCCAAGGATGTACAAGCATAACAAGCGCTTTAATTTGCCACTGTCATGCCTTTTTAACAACTCATGGACAGTGAGAAAGCTGAGGAGTTTCGATCAAATCTGTAGTAACTATTCCGATCCCGTTTCGTCCGGTTGTGCGTCCCAGTATGATGGGTGTACATTTGAAAACATTCTCTGAAACCCATAGTCTGTATACTGCATGAGGTACCACCAGTTGAACATTTGGAATATAAAAACGACCGGAAATGAGTGAAAAACACGAACCAGTATGTAAAAATAGAAATCATTTGTCGGATAAAAAGCGACAGAATGTTATCTACGACTGTTCGACGATACGATTGATGAGTGAAGGTAAGTAAATCAATAGATAGAACTGCTACGGGCGTGCACTTGTATCCGATCGATGCATGCACGAATTGCGTGCATTGGAGTGTGATACAAATCATCGATGGAGCCTGTCATGAGTGAGACGATACGGCATGTGTTTCAGAGAATTAAAGTGTTAGCTATTTTTGAAACTGATGGCAGACATGTAGTGTATTCACTTTGGAACATTGGTCATAAGGTTCGGAAGAAAATCAGTCCGTTATATCCTTCGGGTTTTGAACACTTTAATTAACTCTTCTCCCACAGTCGTTTTGTCTATATGTCTACCGAAAAAGAGCCATTCGAAATATGAAAGACAGTCTNTATATATATATATATATATAGTCGGTCGTTTTTACTTTGAGTTACGAGACTAATTCGTTTTCAGATTTTAACTAAAGTTAATTTATTAAATAAATCACTTCGTTGTATAGGATTAACTTACGTGGACTCGCAGTACCAGACGAAGCAGTTCCTGTACCGGCTGGTGATAGGTTTTCAAACCGACGTGTTTTCAATCCATCCCCGGGCGAACTCATGGAAGTAGTGTGTGCCAACGGGCCCGGGGTCGGACTGGGAACCGAAACAGTCCCGGTTGTTCGACCACGTATTGGCCACATTCCGTGACCGGTTGCATGACTGGTTCGGGTCGGTAATAAGCCCTGCGCATCCTCCAGTTCCATTGACTGACTCGGATGGAAGTGTTCGGGGCGTGTGCCGACTGCAGGTTGTGGATAGTCCAACTGATTCGGTGCACGCGCAAATCGGTGTGGACTATTCAGTGGCCTGGTCCCAGTGCTCACCTCTGTCAAAGTGGTACGGCATAAACTGCCGTTACTTTTGGCACCATACGCACTTCCGTCTGGCAGACCACGATTTAGCAACGGTTGAATCTCGTTCGGGTCTGCTGAGATGTTAGTTGTATAGCTACCTGCTTGATAATTAATCGCATATTCATCACCCTGTGAAAAAAGGAGGAACAGGAAAAGAATACACGAAAAGGGCTTTGTCACTGTTTTGTTTTTAGTAAAATTACACTGCAACGAGCATGACGTCATTTAGCCATATCAGCCTTCTTAATTTACTTTACAAAACACTCCACCTGAAACTGCTATCCTATGGCTGAAAAGTAGCCTGTTGTAATTCATTCTCCCGAAATAGCTAGCTGGTCTATTATTATTCGCTTTGTTAGATCTTCGTGAAAAACGATTGAGGGGATATTTTCAAGTTGCATTGATCAACGGGTCATTTCTCATTTCAGTTTGGAGCAACATTCTCTAAACATCCAAGTTAATCGTAAGAGCGTACTGTCCTACTCATGCCTACTCATTCCATTCTATTCCATATACCCAATACACATGATCAATTGTGCCTGACTCATTTGAACCCACCCCCTCCTCCCGATCGTGTTTGTGATCAGATGCAATTATCCTTTCGGGATCACAGTTCAAGCGCGATCAGTCATTGTCTGTTTCGCGTGAACTTGTTCTGTTCCCGTAACCCCTGTTAATTCCTTCAGTAACAGTTGTCCCCCCCCCCTCCTTCAGATTATGCGTGAACTTTGAGGTCGACTGTAATAACTGAACGACTGCAACCGGTCGTTTTCATTTGTTAAATGCTTGGCTCTCCACCGCTTGGTTCCAGAACCTGTTTCATTCTATCATGACCAACCGTGTTCCGACGCTTCGGGGTTCATCGCAGTGAGTTCCATTTAACAGACCGATACTAATCAAATTCATACACTTGCGTGTTTGTGCGTGTGTGTAAATGCTATAGACCAACTGTTTTTCTGACTTTATTTTCATTGAATTTCCTCAGATCATACGGTAAACCGCAAGCTATATTTTTCGGGGAAATGAAATCTGAAGACCGATTGGTCAATGTGAACCACGGTACTTATCTCAAAACATCGGTCAGATTTTAGTTTATGTCCACAAGTAAGCAATCTGGTACGCTGGTTTTCGCGTATCAGGTGACAATGAAGTTTGGTCATTTGATCGAACCAACCAGCACATGAAAAAGTGCTGCAGGTCATGCAGTGTCGGTCATTCAATAGTTATGGTGAACTGCATGTGTTTTATGACTATCGTCTACCTCACAGTTTGTTACACAAAATCGTATCCAAATTATCATCAGCAAATATGATCCCGTTGTCTCATATGTTGTCTATCATCTCAATGGCAGTTGTAGATACTTACTACTTAGGTAGAATAGACTAATATATGGCTCCAAGGGTGGCCGAACACATCCAAATGTGGTTGTTGCTTTTGTTGAATCAATTAGATTGTACAGGACAAACCCAGCATCCCGGACTATCGCGAAACACCTCCACTCCCCGGATCATCGCCTTGACCTAACCTCGTCCTTCAACGTATGATTACATAACTGGAGTGTGGGGTGTTGGTCTTAAGCGAAGCCATGCTGATCCAGTCGGAAATCATCCCCCCCCCCGCCTCCTCCACACACACACACA